AAAATGTAAATATCCGTGTTAAATGCTATCGAAAATAGGAGTCGAGCGCGGAAGGGGAAGGGTGTATTATCGGTGAAACAGTTGAATAAAAAGGGATTAAATAATTGCTGGAAAATTTTCATTTTTATAAACGAAACGAAATTATACACGGGTTAATTTTTCTTTGTAAATTCTTTTATAGAGTAATGCGTTTTAATTGGTCCCTTGTGGCGCGCAAAAACTTTTTAAACCTTTGGAAAATCTTTTTAAAATGATTTGTAAGGGCAATTATTAGATTCATTAGAAACGGGGGACAAACGAAACGTCGTTCGATTCTTTCCTCGAATAAACTCTCCCGTTCCAAACGATTTTGTTTTCCTTTCCGTTTGTATCGCTCTTTTGATGCCTGGAATATTCGTTATTCCACTTTTGTACTTTCAAACTTCATCCCTATCTCCTTTTTTATTTCCGTTTCTATTCAAAGATCAAATTTTTTTATCGTAGTTTATTCAAATATATTTAAACAACGTAGCCAATTTTATCTGTAAATTGTGGCTAATAAAAAAAAAAAAAGAGAGAGACTACAAAATAACAATTGCGAAACTTCGTGGTAAGATAAAGATGGAAGAGACAATAAGAAGAGGAAAAATAAAACGGAAAGGGAAAGAAGTTGAAGAAGAGAAAAGAGAAAGGGTCTCGAGATTTAACGTTTATCGTTATGCAAATTCGTGTAATCGTTAAGGGAATGGGAAAGATTAAGACACCTACCTCTATTCGTTATGAGACTCGTTATGAGATACGTAAGAGTGGGTCGCAATTTTGCTTATCGAATCATTTTTTACATTCATACGAATTGTGGTTGTGAATATATATATATATACCGAAATGTGAAATATTTGAGGCATGAACATCGCTGCTAAATTCAGGGAAGAAAATAAATACAAAGACTCGTAATAACGAGTGGTACGTGGCGAGTTGATGGAGAGGGAAGAGAGAGAGAGAGAAAAAAAGTAAAAAAAAACGCAATTGCGCGACGAGGGAAACGAGAAATGATAAATAATTCGATGGATTCGGACAAATCGGGGAAACTGGGGCAGAAATGGCGGTGAATTTTAATAAAAATCGACAGATTTTTTTTTTTTTTTTTTTTTTCAAGATTTCAAAGTTGGAGGGACTGGTAGTCCCTCCTTGCGGGTCCGGCGTTATAATGATTGACGTGCCCGAACGTTTCGCGGAAACGCGTGGTCGTCGTTCGTTAAAAAAAAAAAAAAAAAAGAGGGGAGGAAAAGCATATTTCAGGCGCGCACCAACGATTCACAGAGTACACGAGCCGGGCAAACGAGAATTAATCAGCATTTTCTCCGGCGTGGCCACCGTTTTGAAATGAAATTTCACCGAATCGAACGTAACTCCGATAAATAAATGTTTGTAATAAATTAAGGGGAATAAATTCGCGTTTCGAGGAGGGGAGAAATGGTTTCATCGCTAAATAAACCGAGATGGTAATCGTCCTCCGCCGCGGTCCCGCATTTAAATTCCCAATTAGAGAGCCGGTATCGGGCGGCGTCCAGGATACGGCGTTCGGATATTTTTCAATGGTGGTGGATCGGTCTTGAGGGCGGTAATCGCAACGATCTTCCCGTCATGTAAATCTCTTGGAAACGTTTCCCAGGCCCACTCCACTTTTTTTTCCAACTCTCTTTCCGCCGTTTTTCCTCTCCCCTTCTCTCTGTCGTCTCTCCTTTTTTCCCTTTTCTCTCTCTCTCTCTCTCTCTCTCCCTTTCTCCTCTCCTCTCCTTTTTGTTTTAAACTGAGCCACGTAATGGCGCTCGGTACAGTCGGTTATCCCCGCCGCGTCGTAATTAATCCTCCTCGCTAGGAGCGTGCAAAAGCGGAAACTCTGGAACCGTATCGTTCCCTTTACCTTTATCGTCGATGTCTCTTCTTTACTCGTTACTCGATCGGCGTTGAAACACGAACGAAACACGTTTAAATCACTCTTTCTGCCCCCCTTCCCCCGATCGACGTATATTTTAATTATCTGTAACGCGAAGGCGGTTAACAAAGGCGGTTTATTTAAAATACAGCTCTCAGGGAGGAGTGAGAGAAGAGAGCGTTGTTATTGATCGCGAGGGAGGAAAAGTGTGAAATAATCCATCGGATCAATCACCTCCATCTCCCCTTTCCTTCCTTCCTTCCTTCCTTCCTTCCTTCCTTCTCGCGGTCTTGTCTTAAAAAGTTTTAATCCGTCATTTCTTCTCAACAACGTTCGTTCCGTTTCCCGGGATCGAATAACTCGGCGGGATTGGAGTCGATAGAAACCGTTATTGCGATACAGTCGGACAGTTATCGTGTCCGCTTCTTTTCGCCTCTCTGCTCGATAACGCGCGTAAAAAACACTTGCCGGGGAAGCACCGGCTGCGTAAACTCTAACAATTTGTGGCCCCGGCACAAATTTAACGGAATTTATCGAACTTCACTCGGCCACGATAATTATAATGGACCCCCCTTTCCAAACGAAGAGAGAGAGAGAGAGAGAGAGAGAGAGAGAGAGAGAGAGAGAG